CCTGTGATCGTGTGTGGGGACTTTCAATTGAATCCTCGCCAATACCACAGTGTTTCTGCAGCTGTCAACCACCATTCCTGGGTTGACCCCTTGGTCGGAGTTGATGATGCAGGTGAACTCTGCACTTCCATTGATGGCATTTTGTGTAATCACATTGCATTTTCTGCCCTTCGACATATTGGGGTATTGGAATTGAAGGTTCAGCATCGACCCATTCGAGCCCTTCTTGAGTGGGACAGAATCACCCAAGTTGGGTATACGCTGATCAAACCTGCCCCATTTAATCTTGACCAGTGTACGGTTCCAGACAGTGACCCATTGTGCCCATGTCACAATAACGCTGTCCATCTTTGGACATCGCCTAGTGAGCAAGCTTTCCACGCTGCCACATCAGTGGATGACAAATGGAGAATCACCAACCAATACTTCATCCAGGTTCTTACCGCCAATGGCGGCACGTGGGAACATGGCCCGAGACACAGAGGGTCCTTACCGTCTTTTTGCCCCACACGAATTTGTCCTGGGCAAACTGCTAGGGGGGATGCCCTTTCTCGGAAAGCCAAACGCATTGCCAGAGCTGTCAATATTCTCCGTGAGGTTTCCCTCCGACTTGCACGCCCTGTGAAATCTTTTGAAGATGGGGTTACTTTAGCCAGATCTTTGCGCAAGGCAAGAGCCATTCTTGCGCATTGGTCGTGTCCCCACGTATGGGCTTTCAACCACTATCCCACCTTGGTGCAAGTTTCTGACTGCTTGTCTTGGCTCGAAGGTGTCCTATCACAGGTCACCCGCGCCACAAGGCAGGGCCGCGTCCAAGTTTGGAAAGAGAAAATGAAAGCATCGGCCAACGGCAACATGAAATACATCTTTCAGCACCTTAAGCAAAAGGCATCCGATGAACTTCCAAACTTGATCACGGATAGCGCTGATCACATTATCTACCAACCCTTGGATGCCCTTGCGGAATTCAATTCCCAATGGGATGAGGTTTTCGGAATCAATGCTCTTCATGAAGATCCCCAAGCTGTCCTGAAGGTGATTTGGCCATATGTGTCCCACCTTTCCCATCAGGCCCAAATCCCCGAGATTACTGCTCGTGATCTTTGTGACCAGATTCACAGGCGTAAACCTGAGGCGGCCCCTGGCCTAGATATGGGTGGAGAACGAATGAGCTTCAAAGACTACCGTGGTTCGCTTTCGTGCCTGTTGCACTTATTTTCAATCAAGTTGAACAGGAGCTATCCCCACTCCCAGAAGTGCTGACCATCGCCAAACAGATGGTTCTCAACAAGAATGGGGATCCATCGCCAATGCAAAAAAGATTGATTACGCTGCTCCCGGCACTTCTGCTTTCCTATTCGGGTCTACGCTTTCGACAGCTCCAATCATGGCAGCAATTGACTCTCCCTCCCAACCTATGTGGAGCTATTAAAGGTAGGACAACGACGGCTGTGCATACACAGCTAAGGACTGACCTTGATGTGGCCAAACATGAATCCGAAGTGTTGGTTGGCCTAAAGCTAGACAAGTCTAAATGCTTCGACCGACTCATCCCGGCCATGGCTGGAGCACTTATGCTCGCTTTTGGCCTGCCACGTGGTGTCGTGCATTTCTTTCTTCAGATCTATGCCAACCTACGTCGGCACCTTGCCTTGAGAGGATGGATTTCACCCTCCGTACGACGGCCTCTAACGGGGTCGCGCAGAGCTGTTCGTTGTCTCTCATTGCCATCAATTTGCTCATGCATGGTCGATCTTTTATGACCTCATCCCAACTGTTACCGCTAAGGCTTTCATAGATGACTCTCACATGTGGGCCAATATCAACCATCGTGCTGATTTGAAACGAGCCTTGGAGGTTACCAACTTTTGGGACACACTGACCGGCCAACTTTCCAATCCCAAAAAATGCCAATTATGGGCGTCTGATCCAACAAAGAAGAAGCTTGTCGCTGCTCTTTTCCCCGATATCCCTCTCGCGGATGTGATCGATGTCTTGGGGATAAATGTATGTCTCTTCACTCCGTTCGTTTGATTTTGATTCCAAGAAAGGGGTTTAAATTGTGGAGGATTTGAGGAATATTGCAGCACTCCCTTTGAAGCAAGACATCAAGCAGCATCTTATTGGGGCCAAAGTCATTCCACAACTTACATATGGCGCAGCCATTACTAAGATTCCCCAGAAAGTTCTCTGGAAGACTCAAAATGAAGTTGTCAACGTCATTTGGGCGCGACGACCTCATTGAAAAGCTCGTCTTTTGGTCCTTGGCATTGTTGCCAAACCTCACCGGGTTGAACCTTTGATCGCAAGAGCGTGTGCGGCCATCCTTGACTTTGTTAGGTTTTTACATCAGATGCCAAGTGCCACTCAGACCTGCCGTGATCTCCAGAACGCTACAGCTTGGCCCCGTGAATCTTTGATCCAGTTGATTGCAGATGGTCTGGCACATCTCGGCTTGACACTGCGCCCGGGTTTACGTATTTCCTTCTGTGGATCATGTCTCATCCCCTTGTATGAGCTCAACCACCGTGACATTACCAAACCACTGCAGTACTTTGCTAGACAAAGATGTTATACTGAAGCAGCCAAATCTCACGAAAGGACCTTCGCAGCTGTCAGGACATTTTCGACCCAGACTTGTCCTCCCTTTTTCACCGTCACTCTAGACTGCACCTTGATTCAACAATCCCTAACAGGATCTACTTCGAATCAGTACAAGTCGGCTGTAATTTAACCAACGACCGACTGTTTCGAGCCGAGCTTGTCTCCTCGCCAAAGTGCCGTTTGTGCGACTGTGCAAAGGAGACTTGGGAGCACCTTGTCCATACGTGCCCGGGGCTTGCCTCGGCTATATCTAGACCTCCTGACCACGAGTTTGGGATCAATTTTTCCATGTTTGGTCTTTGCACGCATCCGAGGAAGGTGGCCCTTTCAAGACTTGGCTTGTCTCCTGTTGGGGACACCTCCGCGTCGTTTGATCCCGAGCAGCTGGAATTTTTCTGGACTGACGGTTCAGTCCAGTGGGGTAACTACTTCTGGCTCTCTACAGGGGCATACGCCATTGTTGATGCCCGTTTTCAGGTTGTTGAATCTGGACGTGTTAGTCATTGGGAACTCTCAGCCTATACAACAGAGCTGTTCGCCCTTCTCAGGGCGATTCAACGAGCCCACTGCCGCATCCATGTTCGTTCTGACTGCCAGTCGGTTGTGGACCAGTTTAATGACCTATGCCGTGCGCAACAGGTTGACCCACGCTGGTCACACCAGGCGCGGTGGCACGAAATCAGACGTGTTTTGACATTGAGTTTACAGGCCTGCAATTTCCCTTTCATTGTTTCGTGGATTCCTAGTCACCTCCTCGAGCACCTGCCCATTGCGCTTATTTCTGAGGCGGCTGCGCGTGAATGTGGCTCTTCTGCACGAGACATCATTGCTAATCGGATTGCAGACCGTGAAGCTAACCATCTGGCCACAGACCTGTCACCTATTCGCCCATCGGATCAGAAGGTCATTGAGGTGGCTATTCTGCGCCGACATGAGTGGTTAGTCATGTTGAACTGGCTCCTTGAGACGATGCAGCCATCCCCAACTTCAACTCCGGCTCCTCAAACCACTACAGATACTGCAGCGTCAGTTGTTTCTCGATTCCCGCACTGGGCATGGGGAACGCGGACTTCAGATTTTCCTTGGAAGCCGAAGATCTTCACTAGGCAGCGCCAGCCCCCGCGGTGGAGTTTTACCGAGGAGGATTGGCGCCATTTCCGAACGTTCTTGCAAAACCTTCGCTGGAAAGAAGATGAAGAGACGTGTGTTGCCACGACGGAGCTTAAGCTTGCTTGCTTGTTTTGGTGGAGGGGCCATCTCCACACTCAACTTGAAGCCGCGGTTAGCTTTTACCACCATTTGATCTTGGTGTTTCGTTCTATGTTGAAACAAGCCATCCGCCTGGAGAATACTCAAATCTTGCCCGGCGATCTTGTTGCGACAACGAACAAGTATAGTGGCTGTGCTTTCCCCAAGGGAATTGTCACGAGAGCGGCTGTCTATATGTCCGACAGTGAACGACTACAGATGGTACATCTTTTTGACAACGGCGCTGGAAGACCGCTCAACACGTGGGATGTTGTGTTGCCAGCGGTTAATAATTAGTGTACACTTGATCTTGACCACCTGTGTCCTTTTCTTTTCACCTATACTATGCTCCAGAGTGGGCGTAGTTGCGCGATGCTTGGACCGACCGCGATGGTGTGCCAGGAGCCCCCAGTAGCGTCCTTGCTCCTGGTAGTACGGCCAGGAGCCCGGAGCGATGCCAGGAGCCCCCAAGTAGCGTCCTTGCTCCTAGTATAGCGATGCCAGCCCCTAGTGGCGTCCTTGCTCCTAGTAGTACGGCCTAGTGGCGTCCTTGCTCCTAGTACGGCCAGGAGCCCCTAGTAGCGTCTACGGTTAGGAGCCCCCAGTAGCGCCAAGTAGCGTCCTTGCTCCTAGTAACGATGCCAGGAGCGCCTAGTAGCGTCCTTGCTCCCAGCAGCGCAGCCAGGAGCCCCTAGTCCTTGCTCCTAGTAGCGATGCCAGGAGCCCCTAGTAGCGTCCTTGCTCCTAGTAGTACGCCACGAGCCCAGAGTAGCGTCCTTGCTCCTAGTACGGCCAGGAGCCCCTAGTAGCGCCCTTGCTCCTAGCAGTGCGGCCAGGAGCCCCTAGTCCTTGCTCCTAGTAGCGATGCCAGGAGCATCTAGTAGCGTCCTTGCTCCTAGCAGTCCTTGCTCCTAGTGGCAATGTGAGGACTCTTTGTAGCGTCGTTGCTCCCAGTATCCTGTAGCAGTGCGGCCAGACTGCCAGTAGCGCCTAGTAGCGTCCTTGCTCCTAGCAGTGCGGCCAGCAGCCCCTAGTCCTTGCTCCTAGTAGCGATGCCAGGGCTCCTAGTAGCGTCCTTGCTCCTAGTCTTCACATAATTGCAAAATTATATATATATATATAACGATCAAATCTTGCGAAGATCGGAGGCCTTGTCTTGTGTGCTGGATCTTGGGTCGCTCCCTTGAGGCTGTTAGACACAAATGAAATGCTCAAATCAAACATTGACTTTTTACATCAAAACGTGGATGACACAATCGTTACCGCGCAGTTTGTGTACCTTGCGGTGGTGCTGAGAGCAGTCGGTCCAGCCCACACCGCACATCCTAGCGTGACCAGGCAAGGGTGAAGGGCGATCACAAACACCAGCCCAAAGACTTGCCCAAGCTTGCTATTTTTCACAGCTAGCACATGTACATATGTCCATTACCTACCGTGCTTTGGCTCAAGAAAAAGCTGTCTGTTTTAGGCTGTTACCTGTTTGAAATAGGTTATCAGCCGTAGGAATCTTTACTGCCCCTTTTTAGCTTTTCGTTCCTCGCGTACCATTGCCATGGCTGGTTTCGGGACCCCGGTGATTATCGATTTGTCGTCTGACCGGGATCATATGTCCACGCGAGAGGAAATGCCTGAGTATGCTAGTTCCACTGCACTTGTTCCTGGAGGGATTGGGTATTTGAACACGCCACTTTGGCCTGACATTTCCCACTACAACCCACCAGATGCCAGTGCAAGCAGGAACGCTGTGCCGGTCAACAACCAAATGAACGTTTTGAACCAGCGCCTGCATGTTCACCAAGCCCCAACGACCGAGGCCAGGTTGATTGAGACAGTCGCCGAGGAGAGACATCGGCGTGCCATGGACGCACAAAGTGAACAACTCCTAGATGGTGAGTGCTCAGCGTGACGAGATGAAAGCGCAGGGCCTTAGGTTCATGAGTGAGGCTGAACAGATGTTTCATGAGAACGCGGTTGTCAGCTCCTTGGTTGAATCAGCGCAAAAGGGATATGAGGCTTATGCCGAAGCTCCTGCATCCGAACGCAAGTCCATGAAACAACAATATGAGAGTCAGATGCTAGACGCACGCATCCGAAGCGATCATGCCATTGAGAAGTGCATGGCTACTATCGAATCATTGAGCGACCATGTTGGGCATCAGAATCGTCAGACTGAAAGTCTCCGTTTGGAATTGAGGCAATCTTCCCTGACCCTCCAACGACTGCGTCAGTCACAGTCGATCGTTTTTCGGCTTGGTCGACGCTTTTTCGGCGTGGTCGACGTTTTTTTGGCCATCGTCTGTTTTTTGGCTTTTTGCCTCCGCGACCAAAAAATTTAAAAAATCAAAGAAATTGATTGACCGTATTTTGGCAGGGGTTGACGAACAATGTGGGCCATTTGGCATTGAGCTGCAACATTTGACTGCCCGCGTTTTGGCCGGGATTACCGTATGTATATTTCTAGCATTTTTGTAGGCACCAAAAAAATTACCAAATCCATTAACTAATTACATGACATACGCCATGTGTGTATATTGCGGCATCAGGTTACGTTTTACATCACATGTGTCTGTGTCTGTTTTGAAAAGCCCAAAATGAACGCAAGGTTTTTACAAGGCAGTGCTGGCGTCCACTGGACACGCCCAGGTGGCACGAGTGGCATTTGGATCTGTCGACCCGGAAGTGCACTTGGCAAAAGAGAGGAACCTGTTCAAAGCGCCCATGCTGCAGGCGCAGCAACGAGCGAGACACCATGCCCCGCATCAGCCTGAACCTATGGCACGATTGCGCCAATCCTTAATTATAAAATCGTGAAACTCTGCGCGCAAGCGTGAACAAAAACTGCAGAGAGCACTTGCGCGAACAGCAATAAACAAACACATGAATTCAGAAAAGAAGCGTTTGAGGTACCTCATAAAACCTTCATCTGCCATTGTATGCTCGAATCTTGGGGAATAGCCTCCGCGAGACTCGTATCAACTTCCGCGCTAATATATACTATTTGAAGTCAAATTGGAATTTGATCTAAATTGCCAGGGACTTCATTGGCT